CACAGCCAACCCTAAACCACTGGCATAACCCTGCTTATATGTGGAAACCATTTTCAGGAACTCAAGGTACCAGGTCATTTGCATAATCATCACATTTATTCATTTATCAATAACTATCCTACAACATACATGCATACAGAAATAATGTCATATCCATTCCAAGTAATTAATAAAAGATTCTGGTAATATTGGTTTTGATCAAACTTCGCTAATCATCATTAATAAAGAGAAATCAATACAAATTTAGATTCCAGGAACGTTTACTTAACGTTTGTTCAAAGGGGAATCACTCTACCGAAAATCACATAATCATCACATTTAGTAATGGCATTGCTGATGGTGTTTGTAATTACGTCAATGCTGGGTTCGTTATGATGTCACTGTTGTCTTTGTTGGTGTTCGTAACGGCGTCGCTGTTTGTATTTTTGTCTGTTATGATATCCTATTGGCCTTGCTGGTTTTATTTTTGGTGGGGGTGGGGATGGGAATGTTTTGTAATGGCATTGCTGTTGGTGTTTGTAACTACGTCAATGCTGGGTTCGTTATGATGTCACTGTGTTTGTGATTGTATCTATCAAGAGTTTGTTTCATGCGGTTTCTTTGTCATTAATATATAATTGGTTAGACACAGTAGATCTTTATAGTAAGACATACAATGTACTATATTTAACAACCAATTCGTTAGCCATTTATGTATTTTTGCTGTCATGTATTTTTTTTTATGAACATCTACTTTTACAGTTTTGTTTTGCCTTTAATGAAAATTACTTACACAGTCGTAAACCAATACAAAAGTACAACTGACTTGTTAAAAATACGTAGTGTTATACTTCGGGTTATGGGGCTAAGGAGTTTACTCTCAAAAGTAAACCTTTGTCCTACGCCCATATTCATATTCTTGTAATGCTCTGATTTTCGTGATAAGACCAAAAAGTAAATACTTCCACCGAGAGGTACTCAGCAACAGCTTCAGGCCAGGCATCTACAAGTGATCAGAAATATAAGTGGCGTTTTCTGACTTGAGTTAGGAATTTAGCCTGAACACTGAATGTGGGTTCGTGCAGGAGTATATGTTCAACAAACGTGCTCTGAAGCGTTTGTGTTTTTACTGGACTCAGCACGTGTTGAACAAATCAACAATATGTTCAAGAGTATGTATGTATATATACAGAACACTTATGGTTCAGTGACGTCATTTGATGGAAACGCAGACAACATGAACAAGCTATCTTTATATCTATGTGTATATATACAACACGAACACAGGCTATCTTTATATCTATGTGTATATATACAACATGAACAGGCTCTCTTTATATCTATGTGTATATATACAACATGGACAGGCTATCTTTATATCTATGTGTTTATATACAACATGAACAGGCTATCTTTATATCTATGGGAATATACAACATGAACAGGCTATCTTTATGTCTATGTGTATATATACAACATGAACAGGCTATCTTTATATCTATGTGTGTATATACAACATGAACAGGCTATCTTTATATCTAGGTGTATATATACAACATGAACAGGCTATCTTTATATCTATGTGTATATATACAACATGAACAGGCTATTTTTATATCTAGGTGTATATATACAACATGAACAGGCTATCTTTATATCATGTGTATATATACAACACGAACAGGCTATCTTTATATCTAGGTGTATATATACAACATGAACAGGCTCTCTTTATATATATGTGTATATATACAACATGAACAGGCTATCTTTATATCTAGGTGTATATATACAACATGAACAGGCTATCTTTATATCATGTGTATATATACAACACGAACAGGCTATCTTTATATCTAGGTGTATATATACAACATGAACAGGCTATCTTTATATCTAGGTGTAGTGTATATATACAACACAGTATGGCGGTTCCAAACAGGCGCGTCCGTTTAGAATTATTTCCCAAATACAAGATATCCACTTCCCTAATAGTGCGCAACAAATGAAAAACACACTTAATTGTCTTTTTACTAATTTATTAGCAAACAAACGAAACAGTTCACGAATTCATCGATACGGGGACTGCACAAGACATTAGGTTATATATCAATATACAGTTGTGATGGTGATTTCAATGAATGGAGAATTATGTGTTAATCTTTTCTTATAGAATAGGAAATATTTACATGGCGCACCGCTTTGCCAGGTGAATTCTGATCTCAGAAAAACGATTCAGAATCTTAAAACAATAATAAAATACAGCTTACAAAATAATATTAGGTTTCTCAAAAACAAGGTCAGGAACGTCAACAAAAATAAATTTGATGATCCTTGGTATTAACTGACAGTTCCTTACAAGAAAAACAGGAGCCGGAAGTGGCGTATAAATTAGTATCTTACACAAGACTTGATAACAAATCACTTCTAAAACTCAATAAAGATGTTCGAATGCATGACGTCACGGGCCTCGTTTTGGTTACACCCATCCCTTGCCTTTTGGCGCGGTGGTTTTGCCAGGGGGTTTCTGCCCAGTGTTGCCGCCGCGTTTAAGGGCGTCCTGGACTTTGTTCCACGAGGTATTCTTCTTGTTCTTGAGTTTGTTCTTGTTGCTGCTAAGCTGTTTGCGGGTATTGCAGACCAGCCCCAGAGCCACACAGGAAAGCACAAGCGTGATTAACAGGACACTGTAGCTAACAAGCTGGTATATCGTCATACAGGAGGAGCCGACCGCAATACCTGTCAAATACACCGAACACGTGGTTACCATGGAAACATACATAAGCAATGCTCTAGTACCGGAAAAACTAACTAAAATGTCTTAAAGTTTCTCATTTTGTTATTTTACATAGAAATATCAAGAGATGTATTGGGAAAACACGTTATTGCCACTTTACATACTAAAACACTTTTTTGTTTAAATATTTGACCATCGCAATCCATTAACATTCTCCACGTACTTCATGTCCTATGATCTTTCAAGAGGTACTGTTAAAAATTATTTCCCTAATCCAGCTCCTACCCCGGACACAAGGCGCTGTAGTATCTTATCTGGTAGACCGTTACAAGTTACAGCCCGTTGTAGATACATGCCACTGACCCCAACCCCCAACCCAGCCCCTACCCCGGATACAAGGCGCTGTAGTATATCACCTGGTATAACGTTACAAGCACCCCCCCCCCCCCCCCCCCCCCAAAGAAAACCAACATCAACTCAACAACTATCCATAATATTTTACCTGGAGCTCATCCCCACCTTCACATCCGATCCCAACCCCACACCCTAACCCCATCCAACCCACCCCATCCGGCTCCTACGGAGATACTGAGCTGCAATGATTTACCTGGGGTACCGCTACAGACATCACTTGTCGAACACAGGGCGCTGTAGTACGCAGTAGACCGTTTGTCTGGAACAGAAATGATTGATTTCAGATTCTACTATTCACTTTTGCGTGTTGTTGTTGTTGTTGTTGTTGCCGTCATTGATCCGTTTATATAAATAGATTTGTATGTAATATATTTTCCATTGTGTCTCATTATAGAAACTGCAGATTATGTTATGTCTTTCATTATTTGGTATTTAGAGATTGGTTATTGGTTCCAATTAAAGATTATGATGGCTTCATTATAATGCATGTTTTGGAGTTAACCGGAAGGAACCTCTTGATCAAGCATTCATTAATTGCTATGATTCTCACCTGTGTAATCTGTCGGCGTGCTGCAGACAGGACCCCCCACGATGTCTATTCCCGCTGTGGTGAACGTCTCCAGGAACCATAACGCTTCACAGGTACAGGCCCACTGGAGCCCCGTCATGTCAACCGTGGAGAGACCGTCCAAACCAGAAAACACGTTGTCGGCGAGAGCGGTGATGGCGTTGTTGGAGAGGGCTATTGACGTCACTGCCTTGTTGAGGGAGAACGTGGATGTCGTCACTTCCGTCAGACCTATGTTGTTGAAGTCGAACTTCTTGGTTACCGTGAGATGATCCAGCATGTTCGCCGGGAATGTTCCTGGGGTGGCACAGTTCTTGATGGTGAAATCTCCGGACGGGTCGGGGACGGACAGTTTGGAAATGTTGAGGCCGGCGAAGGACGCACTATCAAGCGCGGCTATACTTCCGCCCTCGATCCGGAAGTAGTTGAGGACATTTAACTCTGAAAACGCATTGGCCGCAATGGTGGGTATTTTACAGTTCTTGATGGTGACACCCTGCAAGTAGCCCATGTCCGTGAAGGCCCCGGCTTCAAATGTGGTATCCGTGTTGGAGACACACTCAATCTCCAGGCTTGCCACATAGTTCGAGTCGAAGTCTGCGGTCGAGAAGCTCGAAAATCCAGAAAACAGTCCACCGGAAGTGATGGTTCCGGATACTTTGTATATCCGGAGACGTTGTGGGTACGGGCTAGAGAAGGCACTGTAGGCAAGAGGTGGGGTGATGGCGGTAAAGTCACAGTTGTACACACCCACTGAGGCATCGGTGGAATCGTACGCACAACCCGTGGGAAACGTCTGGCCCAGCCCCCCGGGCACCGACAGTACACACAACACTACCGCCAAGATGATCGCAGCCATCTTGATACGGTCTGTTCTAATTGACTCCGTAAAAACAAATATGGCCGCTGTTTATGCCACTTCTTTCTCAACAGAACGCCATTCTAAACAGAAAAGAATTCATTGTGGCTATAGTTATGTGTCCTTAAGGTCGCAGAGGGAACGCGATAATCTTATTTAATTCAAATAATCAGAGTATTGGCTAGTGTTACGGAGTCCAAAGATTGCATGCGTTATACAAATGCATACTGACCTTAATCCACTGTAAAAACTGTTAATACTATTCAACCACTGATCAGTACAAGTACATATTTCACAAGGATGCCAAGATCTTACTGAGGCCAGTCGCTTGTGTTCTATACCCCCGCGTTTTTAACCGATTCGGCAGTCAAACCGGCATTAGAGACAATGGTTTTGGTTTGGCACGATCGTGTGTATTGAAAGCAGCGCATTAACCTCAAAACGCCGGATCAACATTCAACATTAGGCTCTAAACAAATAACGTGATAAGAGGATCAGAGTGTTAACATGTTATACACTATAGGGTAGACTAGACCGTGTATGTTTAATACTGTTATGTATCATATCTACGGGCGCTTTACCGAAACAGTAATAGTTTACTGTAATAACTCAATGTTAATGCGACTTTTAACTCGACCTCATGACGAGCTTCTTCCTGAGCTAGGTATGATATCATGAAACAATCTAACATTTTTATGCGTTTTAAAATTCCATCTTGAAGGCTGTAAGTTTATAAGCGGTATATAACATATGCTGTTTCTTTTTGTGATAGAGGACGGGTGTATCAACCTTAATTTAATAAAAACCTGTATGCTGTCATATTTGTTTAGTTTTTGTTTAGTTTTTGTTTTTTCACATTAACTAAAATGTTGTTACAGACGGGTCTGCTTTCAAAGTCAAAACAATCTCATTTTTCCTTAACGCATACATCATCAGTATATACAAACACAACAATGCCGATCATCATCAGTATATACAAACACAGCCATGCCGATCATCATCAGTATATACAAACACAACCATGCCGATCATCATCAATATATACAAACACAGCCATGCCGATTATCATCAGTATATACAAACACAACCATGCCGGTTAAATGTTCCGTTAATGAGCCGTATAGATGTCTAATGAAGAGACAATGAGTCGACTTGCTGTAAACCCGTATTATGCGCTAAAACTAAGTCTCTGTTTTGTTTGTTTTTATTCAGAGGCCTAGCTTTAGAGGTGATTTTTTTCAAAATGTGTGGTAATCATGGAAAATTCAGAACTTCTTTTAAACTGGTAGATAACCAAAACGCTTGATAACATGTGAAATATTACCAAACAAATATTTAATAGTGTCCTTGTTTCTACTAACGAATCCATATTTCAGCAAACAGAGCTTGAACTTATTTTTAGTATATTTCATTTTATTTGGTTTGGATATATGATTTCATCAGATAAATACGACCAGACATGGGTGCAGCATCCCTACTCATAAATTGATATTAACTTCCATAAGTTCTAAAACAAAATGAAATTAATTTAAAGTTAGTTTCCAATACAGCACCACTTCAGTGGACTCAAAAATTGAATAATTATATAATGTAAATTTAAAGTTCAATGTTAATCACATTTACCCTATAGTTATAATAAAGTTCTTCATTCTGCCAAAGTTTATCTATTCTGTTCTTAAAAGTGTTGATATTTGGAGCGGGTACAACATCTTCCTGAAGGTTCTTCCAGGTTTTGACTTTACGAAATGTGAAATAGTTTCTCCTGAGGGATGTTATTGACTGACATGGGAAATATTTTTTTCGTGTTTCCTCTTGTACTGTTTCTGAATGATTCTTCACTCCAAAGCTTAACAAAAGTACAGGCTCGTAAATTCTGTTTGCAATCTTGTACATTTCGGTCTTGCCCCCACGAAGTCTCCTATATGCTAGTGTCGGTAGGCTCAATTCCTTTCGTTATGGATATTCTAGGCCCTTCATCCCCGGCGATAAAAGTAAGGCATATAGAGAAACGAAACGAAACGAAACGAAACGAAGGGAAACATATTTTATCAAACAGCTAAGTGTATAATTGCTGTCAGGATATCGTTTACAAATTTTCAAAGTTAAAAAAAATATAGTGTTTTCATATAATTAATAAGTCTAATACTGGTAAAAGATATTTCAATAACCATAAATGGACCTCTAGTCTCGGCGAAAATGTCCTAAGCTGCAGTATCGAAAAGAACGGTCGTCATCCTATACTAGATAAATCTACCAGATGACGTCATTTATATTCATGTCAATTAAACGCTTGAAACCTCGCTTCACATGAGGTTTACTTACAGCTTTAAAAACTGTACACTTTCTGGTTCCGCAGATATTTTAAAGCCCGCAATCATAACATGGTGGGCTTATTAAATCGTCCTTCGTCTGTAGTCCATCCGTAAACAATTCTTGTTGTCCCCTGGTCCATAATATGGCCGCCATCTTGGATTTTTACAATTCATGATTGGACAACTCTTTCTCAGATTTTAAGTGAAGGTTTCCATTGGTCCCTAGGTGTGCATGTTATATTTTGAGACTGATCGGAAAACAAAATGACCGCCAGACAGCCATCTTTGATAGTTCATGGTTGTTATCGCTGTTTCTAAATAAGTACTTGACAAATCTTTCTCAAATCATGTGAAGGTTTCCATTGGTCCCTTTGTGTGCATGCTTTATTTTGACACCGAGGGGAAAAACAAGATGTGCTTCAGGCAGGTAAAAAAATCTCCTAAGAGTGATCATTGTGTGAACATTCATGTTTTAATGTAGGAAACTGCAGTTGTTGACTGTTCTTCATATCGTTAGAGTTTTGTTGTTAATACATAAAATTGACATTTTTATCAACGACGTACGTAACGACATACAAATATGATTGCAGCTATAAATATCTAACAAACACAGTAAGCCAAAAATGGATCACACTGCGCCATACAGCTGTTCATCCCTCTTGGACTCACTGCATCACCCAGCTGTTCATCCCTCTATGACTCACTGCATCATACAGCTGTTCATCCCTCTGGGAGTCACTGCATCATACAGCTGTTCATCCCTCTGGAACTCACTGCCTCACACAGCTGTTCATCCCTCTGTGACTCACTGCATCATACAGCTGTTCATCCCTCTGTGACTCACTGCATCATACAGCTGTTCATCCCTCTGGGAGTCACTGCATCATACAGCTGTTCATCCTTCTGGGACTGACTGCATCATACAGCTGTTCATCCCTCTGGGACTCACTGCATCACACCACTGTTCGTCCCTCTGGGACTCACTGCATCACCCTGCTGTTCTAATGGGACTCACTGCACCATAGAGCTGTTCATCCCTCTGGGACTCATTACATCCTGTTCATCCCTCTGGGAGTCACTGCATCATACAGGTGTTCATCCCTCTGGGACTCAATGCATCACACAGCTGTTCATCCCTCTGGGACTCAATGCATCATACAGCTGTTCATCCCTCTGGGACTCAATGCATCATACAGCTGTTCATCCCTCTGGGACTCATTACATCACACAGCTGTTCATCCCTCTGGGACTCACTGCATCACACCGCTGTTCGTCCCTCTGGGACTCACTGCATCACACTGCTGTTCTAATGGGACTCACTGCACCATACAGCTGTTCATCCCTCTGGGACTCATTCCATCATACAGCTGTTCATCTCTCTGGGACTCACTGCAACACACTGCTGTTCTAATGGGACTCACTGCACCATACAGCTGTTCATCCCTCTGGGACCCATAACATCATACAGCTGTTCATCCCTCTGGAACCCATTACATCACACAGCTGTTCATCCCTCTGGGAATCACTGCATCATACAGCTGTTCATCCCTCTGGGACTCATTACATCA